AATAAAAGAAGAATGAAAAATAAATGAACGAAGTTCAACGAACTATAATAAATAAAGAACACGGTAGTATAGACAAATTATTATTAGGCTGGGCTACTGTACGTTTTTTTTATGACTGCCATATTCACAAGTATTTTCCAAGCAAATTAAGTGCACGTTTTTATCATGTGTAAAATTACTGATTAACACGGCGGATAAAAGCAGCTAATTTTTTTACACCAACAATATACTATAGGCGTACTACTTACAGAACTCAGGTGATTTTTCAAACTTGAAAAACTGTTGTGGTAGGCCAGTTTCAAATCGCATATTTGGCACACTGCCTTTGTCTTGTCCTCACTCAATTTAAAGTGCTCCCACACAGCTGAGATCTTCAGCATTTTTGTCTTCTCTTCAGATGAACTGAATCATGACGTTCATGACGTTCACTCATGGGCGATTCATATTCAAGCGCGAATGAGAACCGTTTCGCGGGGGATGCCAGGTGTTCGGAAAAAAAAAATTCTGGACAGAATATTCTGGTCCAGCCCTAGTGGAAACACAGTCTTTGCATTGCCTTCCTTCTTTTCCCAACGTTAGGAAAGAGTGAATGAATTTTCCAGGCCGCGTCAGTAAGAACTTGGTCCTTTGTTGACTTCATTTTACCGCGGACTCGTTTACAAACAAGGCACGATTCGACGCGGGAAAGATTGAAACTCAAAAACGATGCTGTGCCGACTACATTGGATCCGACAGTAATGCTGCACCAAATGTGAGTAACTGTTTTTATTACGTGGTCACTATTGCTTTGTCTGTTATTACAGATAGTTTGATATGAGTATTTATGCGTTTTTGACCTAAAACACAGCAGCGTCCATCTATGAGGAATGTACGATGTCTAACATACACAACTCTTAGCCAATCACAGCAGCGGACGTTTACTTCTGAGTCTACAATCCGCCACGCTTATTCAAACAGAGCGTTCTGATGAGGGGGGTCAAAACAGGACAGAAAATTGCCTATTACTTCTAAATTATGACGGTTTTTTTTCTGATTTAAAAAACTTGATAACATTATAAGTGGACCTCAGAGGACAGTACAAAATAAAAAACAAAGGCAAGTCCATGACCACTTTAATATCTATTTAGTTGTGGCAGGGTGTACATTTGTTTGCCACTCAGGCCCCTTGAAAGTTATTGAATAATAATAATGATTAGTATGATTAATAATTATATTGTATTCAAATAATAATTAATGCACTTTGCATTTAGAATGGATGGCTCCTGAAATGAACAATAATCCACACAACAACAGTCCATCAGCGAATGTCTTGTTTGTAAAAAACAAATTAATAATTAAGATGTTTTAACTTTAAGCAAACGCTTCTGGCCAAAATATGAGTTCATAATCCATAATAACGCTTCCTCCAGTGGAAAAGTCCATCTCCTGTTGTCTGTAGCGTCTGGACCAATCAGACACACAATATATATATATATTGTTATATTTAACAAATACTCTGTAACACCCCTCAGTTAACAAGCCATATGAGGGTCTATGGACCCTTCCCCCGAAATGCGTCTTAACACCTCAGAAAGGCAGAACAGGCCTCTGGTTCCATGGCAACCAATGCTGATATGACTGGTTTTATTGCCCAAAGGAATGCGGGTAGAGAAACTCACTACATTTTCCATAGGAAAGACACAATGCACAGTATTTTGCTACATGCTCTGTGTAGAATTGTACAGTAAGAAAGTTATTTCCCTTAACCAGGAAATTAACGTTCTTAGAATTGACAGACAGTTGACCCTGAGAGGTCAAGTAAATACTTGCAGCGGATCTAAATATTTATAATTAATTATAACTAGTTATGAAACATCTCAATGATGGATTTGTTTCTTACAAACATGCAGCTTTTGTCTTCACAGGCCATTAATTGCTGGACTGGAGTGGTGTGGATTACTTGTGTATTATTGTGATGTTTTTATCAGCTGTTTGGACTCTCATTCTGACGGCACCCATTCACTGCAGAGGATCCACTGCTGAGCAAGTGATGTAATGCTAAAATTCTCTAAATCTGTTTCCCAAACTCATCTACATCTTGGATGGCCTGAGGGTGAGGACATTTTCAGCAAGTTTTCGTTTTTGGGTGAACTATTCCTTTAAAGTATTTAGAGTCCATTTTGACTATTCACACATAGGCTAAAATTCAGACGAGCCCTGATAAGAGCCAAAAAGTGTGAAAAGACGCTTAGATAAAATGTTTTAAATTTCACAAAACAGCAGCTCGATAATCGTTTCAAGAGACAGATGAGTCTCTGTTTTGAGAGCTGATGTTTTGTGTTTGTTCAGGGGTGGGTGGTTACGGATGATATGAGAAAGCGTGGGACAGACAGAGAGAAAGAGACACAGATCAACACAGACAGCCCGCTGTATCGCGAGCGCTCGCTCACTCGCTCCCTCTCCGCAAATACTCTCATCCTGGAGAAGGTAGGCAGCCAGATACACGCGGCTTATCCATCTCTCCCAGGGCATGCTGGGTAAAGCTTGACTCCTGCCGGCTGACATAGACCTAAGCCACACAGAGCTCCAGTCTCTCCACGGGGCCACACACACGGACAGGGAGGGGGATTTATTTACTCATATTTAGCTGCGTCCATTGATAAAATCATATGAGAAACTTAAGAGCGGCTTACGGTTGATTCTATCTGGGCTGAGCCTGTGTATGCTGGGAGGTTGATTTATGTTAGAGGTCGATGATTGATGTCACGTCCAGCACATACTGGGACGCAGGGTGGATGTGCTGTCATACTGACAGTATGATGCATGGATGAGCTGTTGCCAAGGAAACTAGTCTAATGTGGTGCTGCTAAAGGGTCTATTAACATTTAGTGCAAAAAAATCCACCTGGAAAAAGCATGTAATTTGCCTACTTCAGTTTAATATGCAGACACAACTACAATTTGACTGGAATGGATTTTTAATCTCGTTTTTAGTTCCACTTTGGATTTGCGCTTTTTAATTAGTTTAATTTTTTTAAATCATTATTTTCAGTTTATTTTAGTTTACGTTTCATTATAGTGTACGTATTTTAAGCATATCAACGTTTAAGCTAAACTGGCACAATTATTAAGTTAATTAAGTTAATAAGCTATTAAGCACAATATTACTGTTATTGCTATCCAGTGTTATTGTCAACTAAAACTAAAACTATGAAATGGCATTTGTTAATGAAATAATATTAGATGAAAACATAAACTTAAAAAAAACTTAAATGAAAATTAGAAATGTTGGGAACTAACTAAAAGAAAATAAGTTTAGATAAAATAAGTTAAAAATGAGCTACTAAAATGAATTAAATAAAACTGAAATAAAAATTAATTAAAGCTGCACACAGAAATATATTTAAAAAGCTAAAAACAAAATTACCAAAAATTTAACTACAATTAAAATGCAAACTGTAAATATTAAAATAAAAGCTAACACAAAATATGAATACATTCTAAAACAGTATATAATTATACTAAATAACACTGCTGATATCTAGTCAATTTTCATTTCATGTAGGTTTGTAGGCCTACTCAAGGTTTCAAGTTTTATAATACTATCAAGTTTTATTTTATACCATTTATTAAAAACTACAAGTTACAGTCATGAAAATGTATTTTAGTTTACTTTCAAATGTTTTGTTACATTTAATTTCATTTTAACTTTCTTTTAGTTTCTGTTTTTGATAATAGCACTGCGTTTATTTTGGTCGCTGTGTTACAAAAATGAAATTTCCTGCAACTGCAGAATAAGTTAACTTTCTCCAGCCATCTAAACTATATCAATCACAACCTAACAAGTTAGTTCACATTGCAGCGCATCGGCACCAGAGATCAGATTTGATGAGGCTGAAAAATAAATGAAAGCCGGTAAACCATAAATCTATGGTATGACCGTTAAACCTTCATTCTTCAGGTGTGGTTTATTATAAAGAAAGTATGATATGGAAAATATGAGAGGTTTTTGACAGCTCCTTTAAACAGAGCTCATATCAAACCATCTGAAAATCCTCTACTGCACCCTAGCGGAGCACACAGCCATAAACACTTAATGAATGCAGGGATAGGGAGCTCAGTGTGCGGCCAACCCAGTGAGTTCAGATTTGATGAGGCTGAGAAATAAATGAAAGCCGGTAAACCATAAATCTATGGTATGACCGTTAAATCTTCATTCTTCAGGTGTGGTTTATTATAAAGAAAGTATGATATGGAAAATATGAGAGGTTTTTGACAGCTCCTTTAAACAGAGCTCATATCAAACCATCTGAAAATCCTCTACTGCACCCTAGCGGAGCACACAGCCATAAACACTTAATGAATGCAGGGATAGGGAGCTCAGTGTGCGGCCAACCCAGTGAGTTTGGCTTGCTGTGCTGTCACGGCACGACAGTGACAGGCTTCCTTCCTGTGCTTAGAAGAAACAAGGGTAAGACAGACAGCCAGAAAAAGTGAAACAAGAGGAAACAGAAGTTCCTTGCTGCTCGGAGTCATGAAGATGTCAATAAAACATCATTTACACTGAACGCTATCAAACTGATAAAAGCAGCTACGTTTTCCACCCCATTGCCATCTCAGCGACCTCCTTTAAAAAATAAAATCCCAGAATCCCCACAAGACAAACCCGTTCGACTCCAAGAGCGAGAGCCGAGAGTAATTTTCTGGAAATAAGGAAGACGTTTCAGTGACGTCTTTCCTTGGACCATCTCTGTACTTCCCTAATTGGAGTCTACAGGCTTTTTAAGCTCCTGCTTGCATTAGCCGCGTCTCGTCAGCAGTCTCTCCACTGAGCTGACAGTTAAAGACCTATTCCAGCCTAAAAACGAGCAGTCCAGATGGTCGAGTCCAGACTGCAGCGGATACGTCTTAATCCGCATTTCAGGGCTCTCTGCCTCAGCGAGTCGACAGGGCAAGCGCTAATTGGCAGGAGGAGGGCTAGAAAAAAGGGGACATCAATGAAGTAACGAGGTGACGGCATACCTGACAGTGAGGATGGGGGTTTGAACAGCCCATCATGGCTCCTTTATTCTCGAAGATCTGAAACACGAAAGAAAAAGTCATTACGTCCTTTCAAAGAACTCAGACATAACAAGCCACGGCAAACTGTATACAAGTGTACAGAAACACACTCAAACAAGACAGGTGCAGACAAAACACGCACTCTGTTATTGAGACATGAAGAGATCAGAGCACATGTTGCTGTTTAAAAGGAAACATCCTGTCAAAGGGAGTTTTAAGACTTCCTGGCACCTCCCTCAAGGGCGATTTGAGCAGGATCTGCCCTTGACTACTCCACTTGATAAATATTGACTCGGCTAAAGTCACCGCTCTTCAGGGTCTGTAAATCGCAAAGATGAGGCAGCACACATGCTCTGATGTGTTTAACAGAGAGGAGATAACCACCGAGGAGTCGCTAACCGGGATAAACTGCAAGAAATGTAGAAACGCCCCTGTAGATGCTTCTCGGATTGGACTGAACCTTGCTGCACCCTAAAATAATGATTTGCTGTTTCAACACAATCGCATGCAATTATTTTATGAGGTGGTGAATTTGTACGAATTCACAGATTGTGATTCGTACAGAATCACACGGTTTTATGAAAAATAAGCATCTAAGGGCCAGATTTACTAAACAAATTAGAGTTAGAGCGCAATTCCATAAAAGCGCAGATGGGAGGGGAAAATTCTGCGGGTGATTTACTAACAATGCGCACAATAAAGAACACAGACGCAACATCTCATTTCCATAATGACCAGCGCAATCTACCAAGAGCAGAGCAAATTACCGCCTGCTTTAAGACATGTTTTTTGGGGCGTTAAATAATGCCGCAAATACCAGTGAATTGACGAGCGCAAATCTTAGTAAATCGTGTTGCGTGATTCATTTAAAAGGTTAGTTCACCCAAAAATGAAAATTACCCCATGATTTACTCACCCTCAAGCCATCCTAGGTGTATAAGACATTCTCCTTTCAGACGGATACAATCGGAGTTATATTAAATAATGTCCATGCTTTATAATGGGAGTGGATGGTAGCCCAAAATTTGAAGTCGAGAAAATTGCACCCATCCATTATAAAAGAAGTCCACACGGCTCCGGGGGGTTAATAAAGGCCTTAGGAAGCGATGTGATGCATTTGTGTAAGAAAAATATTAATATTTACAACTTTATAAATCTTAATCTCTAGATTCCGCTAACTGTCGTACGCACGTTCATGAGAGAGTGGCATCCAGCGGATGACGTAAGACGTAGGCGTAGCATAAGCTCCGGTGAGAATATGCTAGTCTCGCGAGAAACAAGTTTTGTTTACAGCAAAGGAAAACCAGTGTCCCATTGGCTTATATCGAAATCCTCCGACATTTTTCTTTACAAATCCTCGTTTTGTACTACTAATTCGTGACCAGTGTTTTGTTTTGCTCTCTCTTCTGCGCTTCCACGTTCGTCACTTCCACGTTTGTCACTTCCGCGTTTGCCTACGTGCTACGTCATCCGCTGGACGCCACTCTCTCATGAACGTGCGTACGACAGTTAGCGGAAGCTAGAGATTAAGATTCATAAAGTTGTAAATATGGATATTTTTCTTACACAAACGCATCGCGTCGCTTCAGAAGGACTTTATTAACCCCCCGGAGCCGTGTGGACTTCTTTTATAATGGATGTGAGCAATTTTTTCGACTTCAAATTTTGGGCTACCATCCACTCCCATTATAAAGCATGGATTAGCCTGGGCATTATTTAATATAACTCAGATTGTATCCGTCTGAAAGAAGAATGTCATATACACCTAGGATGGCTTGAGGGTGAGTAAATCATGGGGTAATTTTCATTTTTGGGTGAACTAAGCCTTTAAATACTCTCCTCCCATAAATTTACAGATTAAAAGGGAAACTCCTACAAATGCATATTCAATAAGGTGAGTCGCAAAAATAACTGTGTCCACGCCTTTTCAGTGCTAATTTACCACTGAGTGTCTTTAGTAAATCCAGACACTAGTTTTTTAATGTCAAATGAGTGTTGATGCTGGCACAAGCTGATAGTTAATCTGGCCCTATACCTCTAAACCTAACCACGAGTGGCGCATAACGGTGGCAATATTGTATTTAAATGCTGAATGTACACGAACGCCATCACAATGTCGTAATTACGCGTGGGAAAAACAAAGCTTTCTTTAAGTCCCGAGCTTCTGAGGTGTCGGCTTGTAAGTGAGAAAATATGGGAGGTGCAATACTCGCAGTGTCTCTACTGCTGATGGCAAATTTGATAAAATAAAGTTTTTTGTTTTTTTTATATTCAATACAACTAGCTCAATTGCATGTACAAAATGCAACAGTATTGTAGAATATGCACTGCCTGGCCCAAAAAAATTAAATAAATAAAAGTCGTCTGGAAATTAATAAGATAATAAATTTGCAAATCCAAATGGCAATTTTGTTTTTTTTTTGCCAGGCAATGTATAATGTTTAAGCTTACAGCACCTTCATAAATTTCACAAAATCATAAAAAAGCAAAAATATAGACTTAGAAAGGCAATTATAAAGGTAAGATGCCATCTTTCTCCAACCAAAGTGACTTGCACACACCTGACATAATTACTTCTTCCCAACTCAAACTTCCCAGTACTTGAACATACCATAAGCAGATGGTACACACAAAAAAAATTGATTGTACAAATGAATTAGTTCACATGAAGTATCCACCAAATCGCCAAAATGTAAAATAGTTACAAATTGCCATGAGAGTGTCTTGGTTTGTTTGCATGTGCATCTTTCAACAATTCACTGAAGAAAACGTTCATTGGAAAAAGTTTTTTGGGGGGGGATTTTCAGCATTGATAATGAAAACAAGAAGAAAAAGACATGTCATGGAACTGTTTTTAATTAAGTTAACTTTCTCACATCAACTAAAAACAGCACATTGTGTCCTAACTTGGCATAACATTCAAAATCTCCAAAAACAAGTAATTTGTCGCAACACCACACAACGCAATCAGAACATATTTTAATGTTTAATGTTTAATATGCAGCTGTGTAGAATTACTGTATAATTTGAACCAATGGGACTTCACAGTGTGGACTCAGCACAAAATGCTTGTCACAATCCTAGGTTAGGACACGGTGTTAAAGTTACAGATTCAGTGTCCCTGGAGTAACCTGAGGTTGGCACTGTGCCGTAATGCTGTAAGTCTGCAGCAATGCTAGCTCAGCAAAAGCACTGAAGGTGCTTCCTTTTGCCATGAATACATAAGATACATGCACTCGAGCAACCTCGTGAACCATAAAATGACAAACTGGTCAGTCTATAGGAGGGGTGTCCAATCCTGCTCCTGTAGGGCTACATTCATGCAGAGTTTAGCTCAGGGTTCCTCAAATCTTGCCCTGGCCAATGCGCTGCAAGAGTTTAGCTCCAACCCTGATCAAACTCAACCACCTGTGATTTCCTAAAGATCCTGAAGACATTGATTAGCATGCTCAGGTGTGTTTGATTAGGGTTAGAGCTAAACTCTGCAGGAAAGTGGATCACGTGGGCCAGATTTGAGGATCCCTGGTTTAGCTCCAGCTCACCTGCCTGGACGTTTCTAGTGATCCTGAAGACCTTGATTAGCTGATTCAGGTGTGCTTAATTGGGGTTGGAGCTAAACTCTGCAGGAAGGTGGCCCTCCAGGAACAGGATCGGACACCCCTGCTTTGTGGCCTAATGAACTTTACACTGTCAGAAAAATTGTGCAAAAACTGTACCTTTAGGAGTACAACAGCTTGTCACTGGGGCAAAACACTTAAAGGGACAACTTTGTACCTTATTTACCTCTAAAAATGTATGAAATCCATTTTATTTTATTTTTTTCCACCAAATTCTGTTTTTTCCATTTAAATTTTTCAGGATTCCGTTTTTTTTTTTTTTTTTTTTTTTTAATTTATATTCGACTCCTTTTTAATAGTTAAATTAAATAGTATTAATTAAAAAGCATGTCTAATTAAT